GACTACTGTAAGTTTAAGGGGTGATTCACAGAGTAATTAATTTACTATAGCGCCCCTCCCCCCAATATTGAGCAGAAAATGAATGGTGATGATATAAGCTTTCATTTGACGGATATCTCCAACACCTTGGGGAGTTGTGAGTATTTCCTGATCTTTAGAAGTGGGGGTATCAAAGTTATTATGAAGTCTATACTATGGCAGTTTATTTGCCGGCGCGGCCGGTCTGCAACTTCGCTCGTACCCCCCGCCCTGCAAACAGGACGCTGGGATACTCTGATGATCTTCACAGAATCTTGTGAAGGAAGTGACCTGTGACCTATGTAGCATCTGGCTGCAGCTACCCGTTCAAGACCGCAGTTAGACAATGTGCGCAAACACTATCCGAAAACTTCCCATAGAATTGCGCGCATTCCATACCGGATGTGATTTCTTTTTCATTGCGGACCATGTGGACAAAACTTTAAGCGTCGCATAATGCAATCCGACCGTTCGTGATTCGAAACAGAGCCTGAGCGAGTGACGGGTATTGTAAATTTGCAACACAGATAACTTTTAGAGGATTTCCTACATTATTACTCTTTTCAACGAGAGAAAAAAACATCTCTAAACTGGAATAAAAGAGTTATGAATCAGTCTTAACGGCCGTTTCAAACCTTGCAGAGTCATGACCTTGATGACGCACAGGTCACTGGTCACGCAAAATCCAACCAATCAGAGCGTGAATTCATCAGAGTATCCCAGCGTCCTGTTTGCAGGGCGGGGGGTACGAGCGAAGTCTGCAACCTGGAACACGTTTTGGCGGCCCTTGAACTGGGACAGCTTTCTGACGTCACAGCCGTGACCTGAAACATGTTTCCTATGCACCGCGAAAACAACTGACCGGAAAATTGTTCATGACGTCATGTTACTGCTACGTGACTGCACACAACCCAAAAAACATCACGAGGCGACCGGACATGATAAACAATAACATTCAAAGCAAAAGTGGGAGTTTTTTTTTATAGCGTTTCCCTAAAATTCTAAAAAAGAGTAGGCCTGATATTCTGTATCAACTTTTGTACCAATTGAAGGTAAAAACCCACTATTTAAACCCCATTTATGGTAAAAAGTAACGTTGTCTGCTAAGCTTGTTTACCCTTCCGCCATCTTGAAACATAAGTGAACCGACACGAAACTTCGGTTCAACTTTGGTCGAAACAATGACGTCATTTCAGTGTAACCAAAACGCCAAAACGGCCGCGAACCAGAAACATGTTAACGGTCACAGCGCCAAAACGCACCCCAGGTGTCCGTTCACATTTTAGTATTGTTCCGAGTTGTGCCAGACAACCCATGACAATATACACAGGGACGTATAAAGCAAGATCAATTCAAAGGTGGGACTTGGGGAGAACATTTGCCGACAGACCTTCGTTGGAGGAAATCAGATTTTTTTTTTTTTTGGTCACCTGGGTTGTCGTGAAATCAACAGAAAGGTGGGATGGGGTAGTAGACGTGAAACACCATCGTTCAAGGCAGGTTGCGAGGCTTGTGCTTGTCTCTGGTGCGACTTCGCGTCCGGCACGGTGTAGCGATAACCCTTCACTCAGTCGCAGCAGTAAGGGTCTCAGCCGGCTAACGAACCACTAAATCAAAACACAGAACCGGCGCTCAACACACGGGCATCACTAGAGCAGGTGTGGCGTTTCACCCCTCAACCCCTCCTCCCCGAAATATTTTGTGTGTGACAAAACCGTCTAGTTCCTGACTACTTTCATCACGGAGGGTGTGGTGGCAAATTTGTTGTCAGTTCTCACTTTCTTAATCTAAACGCGTTTAACAGACATGCGGAGGCCTCATGAATCTTACACAATGTTTTTTAATTTATTTATACAGCTTTTATTTTGAGAGCCACATTTTTTTTTACATCAGCCTAATCTGGCAAATAAACGTGTTCAGTAATAAGCCAATATTGATATTATTCGAATGTTTTCTCGTTAATGGTGTTGGTTTTCGTTCGTACCACACCGCCCTCAAACAGGGCGCATGGGAAGGGCTAATCTCTAACACAAAATTGTGTGTGAAGGAAGCATAGACGCGCAGAGCATTGTGGGCAGCTTACTGCCTCATCCAAAGCACGTACATTCAGCGTGCACGTGTCACGCGCACACGGAAGTGTTGACGTGTTCTTGTTCAAACAAATTCTATTTAATGAGGGCTCGACGATCTGACGTCATGCATCCTGAATGATATTAGCCCTTCCCAGCTCCCTGCTTAAGGGCGATGGGAACGAGCGATGGTGTAGCTCGCACAGTCGGAAACACTGCCAAGTGTTAAACGTATCTTTATAAAACCAAACACCTGCAGTGTTTTTCTTTTCCAGTTAAATACCAAAATGAATCGATATTTACACTGATTACAATTTCTCATTCATTAAATGTGTAGAATACTGTTTATTGTATTCTTAAGCCACGGTACATTAACCAATTATCAATATCAACTTCAGTAATAACCAGAACATTTTATACAGCAAAAGGCACACGCAATACACGTTTTTATACATTAACTAATGATCCAATAGTTAACTAACTCAAATCAAGTCCTTAGTTCAAATCCTACACAGAGGCGGATCAAGGATTTTTTTTGCAGTGGGGGTGTCGACCCGTCAGATTGTTTTATGTCCGATTGTTGAGGACAGGCGGACCTAATGGTACTATAATTGTTATAATCTTTAGGGGGTCAGAGCAGGGGGAGTTCGACCCCCTTCCCCCACCCCTCTCTGCATCCGTGCATGCATTAATCTCAGACTTCTTGCAATGTCAGTTTTTCATGCAAAGTGTTTAAAATCATGTGGGTCTATTGTTTAGAATATTTTATACTAGTATTCTTTTCTTCTTGCTATATGCAAATATTAATGCAATTAAGTAATCGTGAAATGCATATATACAGTGCAACTGTTGAATCAACATTTCAACTCGTCCATTAACAAATTATTAATATCAACTTCATCAGTAATAATCATAGCATTTTTATACGGCAAAAAGGCGTACGCAATGCGACACTTTTTAATCGACATGAAATTACACTTGAAACAACATAAACATCCGGTCCCTATTTTAAATCCAATTATCACAGACTTCTCGAGATGCACATTTTTATGCAAAATTTAGAATAAAAAATTCTCACAAGAACTGTAAAATTATTGTATTTTGGCATAATATGCGAATATATTAATGCAAATAAGTATAATAGTAAAATATATATAATTAATTATACAGTGCTACAGTTGAATCAGCATTTCAACTTGTCTGTTTTGATTTAGTGTTGTGTCAATCATCTGTTCGAATTAATGTCTTTGTTGATTTAGTATCCGACAGCAAGACAATGAGCTATCTTTATGCAATCGTTTGTTTTTTTAAATGAATAGGCTTCATTTTGGATTCATTGTCCTTAAACTGTAAGCCTGAAGTGATATCCTTTGCCTGAAGTGATATCACACAAGCAGCGCCCTCAGTTGTTAGGCATCCTTTTGAAATTATGACATTATTATAATACATTAATAAGTGGGAAGGATGTTCGCCAAAAACATCCAACAGTGTTAAATTCGTCACATGGCTCATTTAGTCAAGGGCGGATCCAGAACACAATTTTTGGGGGCTCAAACAAATTTGGTCCCCCAAAAGTGTGTCAAAAAAAAATTACGGCGTGGGGTTCGCGGCCCGCTTAAGAGCTGAGGCAATTTATGACCACTTTAACCAATATTGTTTTTAGGAAAAGATAGTGATGTACTCTTTGCCAGCTTTAATTGCAAAGTCACCTAAAAAAAAAAATGGATTCGTTTTTTTTTGGGGGCACCCCCACCCCCCACTTTGGATCCGCCCTTGCATTTAGTAACGATTAATGTTTTTTGTTTATTGCGCTTTTTTTAATGTTATACATTGTGCTGATTTTATGTATAGAAATTGTTGGCGGCCAGAGGGGGGCGGTGTACATGTATACTGTACAGTTAATATTCTCTGTTTTACTTTTAAGCCACAATACATAAACAAATACCTGTAATTAAAATCGACTTCACTAATATTAAACTATTGTATTTTGTACAGCAAATTTCAAAGGCGTACGCATTACACTTTTTATACATGAATGGTCATATTGAAATTACCTTAAATAAGACATAACAAACCGACCTATATTTTTAAATCCAATAATCACAGGCTTCTTGCAATGTCACTCTTCATGCAAAAGTTTAGAATGAAAAAAAAAATATTGTCACAAGAGTTTCAAAGTATGATGGTCAAGATATACAAATATTCTTTTGTTTTTGCCATATGCGAATATTTTGTATATGCAATCGTAATCGTAGAATGTATATATACACAATGTCAAAGTTGAATCAGCATTTAAACTTGCCTGAAGCTTCGGTTTAGTGTTGTGTCAATCCTCTATTTCTCGTATAAATGTCTGTGTTCATTTAGTTTCCGACAGCAAGTCAACGAGCTATAAAATTAATGAATGGACTATATTTTTGTTTCATTGTTCTTAGATAATTAAAAATATAAAGTGTTTGCCTCAAGTGAGTCACAGAAGCAGCGCCCTCAGCTATCAGGACATACCATGCTTTTTGAAATTGTGACATTATTTTAATACATTAATTAAGAGTATTTAAAGATATTCGCCAAATGCATGCAACGCTGTATTATAACATTCAACGAATGACGCATTTAGCGAATTTCTGCCATTTGCAAAAATTGATGTTTTTATTTACTTGAAACTTAAGAAATGACATCATCGAGAAATACAATGGCGGTGTTGATTTGGGGGTATAGGCCCTTAACCTTACAGAGCGCCCTCATTGAATGTTTCCTGGAGACACCTTTGATCGCCCCAAAAATTGACGAAAAAGTACTTCCACAAGCGAACAAACATGACCAACAATCATGGGCGTTGCGAGGGGGGGGGGGTGAAAGGTTGCCCCCCCCCCCCCCGGAAAAGCAAAAAAAAAAGAAGAAGAAGAAGAAAAAGAAAAGAAAAACAAGAAAAAAACAGAGGCGTGAAGTCATAGTATTTGATAGAATTTTTTGGGGAAAAATATGTTTTGCCCCCCTCTAGAAAAAATCCTGGCGACGCCCATGCCAACAATCAAAATGCGTGTAGCACCAAATGCAAAGATAAAAACACCATCTGAACAACACACGCACGTTATATGATGACATCTGTGAGGTCTTGGTCACAATCAGAAAAAGCCTTTTATAATAATTATCGTCTTTACTGGAATGAACAGTTTGCTAAATCCTCAGTCAATGAAAGAAATGGAATCGTTACAGCACCCTACCTGCTTTCACAAACTTAGGATTTCGTGAAACAGGACGTCCCGGTTTTCATAAAAAAATTGATGATAAAAGTATGTGGATTACAAATATTCCTGGGCTTGACACCAGGGTAAGATTTTGCAATCATGGCTTTTACACAGCTCTATAAGCCACGGCCATTCTCATATCATTTCATGTAGGAATCGCCATATATGTAAAAACGGACATCTGTGTAATAATTTAATTCATATCATTTCAGGTAGGCCTACAGGAATCATTTGGTAGAAATTTTCAGCCCTATATGATGTGAGTCAAACCTCAGTATTTTGTACGTTTGCAGATGCGAATCCAGCTTTGGCTCAAGGGGAGGGGTTAGTTGTCGGGGAGGTAGGCGTATTAAACAGGTCATGATGTGCTACTTTTGCTCATGACCTTTTCTTACCGGGGAAGACTGCCTTAACACCCCCCCCTCCCGTATCCACTACTGCTTTTGTGTGTTTTTTAACTTTGTTCATATTGGTTAGTTCAAGTTGATTCCTTTTCGCTGCTTTTGCCTTTGGTTTAGTCGCGCAACAAACTGTGAAGAAAGTGTAAAGGAAAGGATTGAGGGACGAGTTGATTGGAAGACCTAGAACCACAACCCATGCATACACTTCGGTGGATAGACTAACTGTTCCCGTCTGAGACAGAATCCCCAGGATGATTACTGGCATCCAACAGCAGAAATCCGTCATCACGATCAGCGCCATCTTGGCTGCCATTTTGACTTCACGCTCCCGATGGGCATTCGTTCGGACGGCACTGGCCGTCCGCTTGACACTGATGAAGATGGCGACGTAGCAACACAGGACAAGGAGAAACGAAACCAGATTGACGCCAAGGAAGAGAATGATTGACAGGATCCAAGATGGTTTCTCACCCGTGGTTTGTGAAATGTCCATGCCCAAATCCCACCCCCATCCATCAGTGTACTTCTTACCAAATGTGGTCACACCAGATGCCTTAGTGGTGAGAGGAAGGCCGATACAAACATCCGAAAGTCCATATACATCAGAACCGGACCCAAATGAAAGTGTCGGCACGATACTCAGACAAAGTGCCAGAAACCATAAGACAACAATAATGACTGTTGTTGATTTCGTTCCCAGAGAGAAGTTTTTCCACGGAAAGACAATGCCTAGGAAGCAGTCCACGCTGATGAGTGTCACAAAAAACACCGAAGCCTCGCTGGACAGAACGGACAAGACTCCAGCAAGTTTACACATTATGCTGGAGCGCCATTTAGGGGCCACGAGAAAGTAGTCATCGCCAAATGAAAGATCTGCACCAGCTATGATTAACATGTACACACCCATCATGAAGTCTGCCATGGCCAGATTTCCTACCATTATGGAGAGCGTTTTCTTACCCCCTCCGACCCCTTTCTGCGTAAGCCTCCAAATCAGGAAACACAAATTACCAATAAGCGCGCTTAGTCCCAATGCCCACAACATCGCTCGTAGGATGCTATTTGGCATAAGGCTGTCGCACAGATTCAAATCTGGTCTACGCTTTACAGTTGAACAATTTTGCTCGATAGAAAAGTGATGCAACTTGGATAGGGCACAGCAAACACGGTACTCATCAACGTGTCTGAAAATTAAACAAACGGTTAAAGAACATTATATACAGTACATTAACACATGTCTTGTTAGAACGGCACATAGTATTCGATGCTGCCTCTAATGAACTGGCATGAACTTGGGTACGGACCCCCCCCCCCCAAAAAAAATCACTTTCCCAGGCAGCGTCATCCGCGTTTGAGAAAATTATATTGCAATCGATTTTACTTTACGAGCAACTCAATGACTTACGCTCGTAGCAAGGCTGGTAACCCATCAGCGGCGACCTTACCAAGCTTAGTCAACGTGCCTGATACATTACGCATGACACTGAAAAAGATCAGATGTCGAACATGGTATTGACACTTCACCAAAATAGGCCTACCCGAAATCCATATTTGAAGCAACCAGCTTACTGCTCTCTTCCTTTCAAACATGTCATTTGTCTATAAACGATCAATCCGTCGAAGCAAATATGGTCCGAAGATGGACAGTTTAGATTAAACAGTTAAGATTTAACAAGAAAAAAAATTGTCTAGATCTGTACATTAAGAATTAAAAATAGAGAATCCCCCATTCAGCGGAAAAAGCATATCTCAAGAAACATGTAATATTTAACAGCCTATATCTAGAACGACAAGGCCGATTGGGTTGAAACTTTGTATATACATAATCCGGGATTAGTAATATACCAAAATTGAAATGACTTAATGACGACGGTATCGTTTTCTTCAATAGTTTTTATCTTATCTGCATATCTCAAGAACCACCAAACAAGCCACACAATTATTTGTGTATTGGGTACGTTACGTTATAGATAATTCTATATATATGCACGAAATTTCGAAGAAATGTTTGACATCATCATGAAGTCATCAAAATGGATTTTGTTTTATATGCATATAAAAAAATAGTCGATCGTTATGAAACTTCGTGGGTAAGTAGATAATGACAATGGAATTTAAACCCTGAAGTGACATCATGATGACGTCATCAACTGATTTATATTACCCTTATATAAAGTTGGTTAAAGAAGGTTTTAAAGAAATTATGGCCACGGGTCATGTTTAATCATCTTAAATGGGCATGTTATATATCTAGCGATCTATACAAGGCTAACTGGGTTGAAAACTTGTAAATACATAGTCAGGTATTTGGGAACAATATCAAACTTACAGGGTTTCGAGACTGAAGAGTCCACCAAACGCACCCTCTGGGATCGACACGAGCGGAAGATTTATCAGACGACTGTCAAATCAAATGGAGAATATAGCAAAGTTGAAATGCACTGCAAAATATTTTATGAATGAGACACTACGGTCTGAAATCCACTAAAATTGTCTGTTTTTGATTGTTTCCGTATGCTATTTCAAAGGTATGGATGAAGGAAAATCTACCTAATGTTGCACTCTTCCTGACAAAAAAAAGTCTGGGTGGACATTTTGTGGCATATGCATTACGTATTTCCACACATGTCCATGCAATGCACGGTACACATTGTGTGTGACACATTATACACACAGCCCCAATATACACATGTTGTTTCTTGCACGTCCGCAAAATGCGATGCAGGGGTGGAAAAATCTGCTGCAGGATTCACGACTAGCAACCAACAGCTCGATTTTTGAATAATATTTTGACCCCCAAAATTCGTTCTCGAAAGAATAATACAAGAACGCCCAGTTTATTAAGGATGGTTGTGTGGGCATTTGTATCCTATACTTTTAAATGCTCTTTCCAGTTACATTGTAATTTAATGTCGTTTTAAACGCGTTCTGTAACCCAATTGGGTGCTTTCCAGGACGTAATGTCCTATTAACGTCTTTGCGAGAGTGAGATTGGTTTCTATTTAGATAGTTTGAAAATCCAAATGTAGCTTGCGGGATATATACTCTTTAACACCAACAAAATACGAAGCATTTCAAACTTACAGGGTTCGGAGATTGGAAAGTCCTCTAAATGTATTGGCGGAAATCGACACGAGTGGTAGATTTACCAGATAACTGTCGAATCAAATGGAGAATATACGAAGCAGAAACACACAACATTTTTTAAAAGGATCCATGAAATAACAATTTTTGGCAGTAACATATTTTGTGCAACTTTCTGCCTCTTTAAAATGTATAAAACTATTTGACATTCTCTCCTTTTTTGGGGTCTATTTATTCAGTGCTCTTCTTTAAACATTTACAAGTCTTCATGCTTTTCCTGGCAACTGAGGGCGCTGTTGCTGTGATGTCATTTCAGGAAGACGCTTTTCAGTTTAGGGGTTTCTGTTTCAAATTGTGAACCCAAAAATGTGCGCATGGAAAACTTCTGTGAGAAAAGTTTGCTCATTGACTTACTGCCATGTGCTGACACAACAATGAATCATCAAAGAAAAGAACATTTGCATTAACAAAATGTTTAAATGCCGGCAAATTGGTGCTGAAATAACTGTAACTTTGAGGTTTCTTGAGGACATTAAGGACATTTGCATTAGCGTAAAAACCAAAAAGGCAACAAAATATTCCTGCAAAAGGACTAAAAATATAAAGGAAAATAAGGTTGAATATCTAATAGGTAAACTGCCTGTATTTTTCTATTTTCATTTTCATTTAAATATTAGACAGACTTAGATTAATTAATTACTCCCATCGAGGGGTATTAAACGTGCCGTCCACGAAGAGAGTCGTTAAGTTAAAATTGTTAAATAAATTAAATGTTGAATAAGGATATTAGAAATAGCATGCAATGCAAAAATAATAATAAATGCATGCAAAAGAATACTTGAATGAGTCACAACAGTGCTGGCTATAAACACAACATGTGGAAAGAAACACAATGGGAGACATACAAGTATATATTAAATGATTATTAAAACCAACATCGTTTGGACATTGAAATGATATTGCTCTTCATTCAGACATAAAAGATCTTATTAGTGAGACAAAATGACTATATAGCAATTGGGTGTGAAGTGAACGAGGGACTCTCACAAAATTCTACCAAACAGCGAGCTCATACATGGACAAATACATTTCTCGACACCTTGTGCCGCATTTTGGGGGTCTTGTTTGCAGTTCGAATCAGACGAATGTTATAAAGCCATGTTACTGTAACTATCATCAAGCCGAAGTTGCGACAGAATTTGTGCGCACACTTAACAGCGATTTACGAAAGTGTATTTCTATTAAACTCACAGAACTATATATGACAATAAGTTTATTGCCTGAGAAAAGCAAATAAAAAAAAATAAGAAACCTAATTACCTTTTGATTAAGAACTTTGGGATTAACCAGCTACTTTAAGGAATGCTGCTCACACTCCAAAGAAGTGGTTAAAGGTAACTATTGACATTCAGATTCATGCAGATTGATGCCAAAGCTTTTAAGATGAAAATAGGGCCTGCACTGCAACAACGAAACAAGAAGCGTATCAAACTTACAGTGTGTAGAGAGAGGGCAGTTCGCTAAATGCACCGTTGGGAATCGACTCCAGAGGAAAAGTGTTAATCTGACTGTCAGGTCGAGAAAAGAATAAACGGAGAACAAATAATGAAATAATATATACATGTATGGGCTGGCCCGTTGCCCCCAATAGGCAACACCTAGACATTGGGACAATGTGACCCCAACTTTGTACTTGATGATCAATAGGGTGGTTTTATCATAAACTAAAGGGGAAGTAAGCCAATTCCCAATACGTACCCCCAGCATGCTCATGCATCACGAAGTTACTTAGTTTGTGATAAAAACCGAAATTATGGTCGTTTAGGTCATAACTTGTTCGTTGTTTGCTTTTAAGGGACACCCTGTTCATCAAAATATTTCTAATTTCATTCCAAAGATATCACATTGCAAACATTACACATGTAATTGTAATATTATTGCGTTTGAAACACACATTGTGGTGGAAGTAACAGTTATTACGATCTGTTACATGTATACAATTTAAAAAAAAAATCAATATTGTAAGTTCCCGATTGAAGATTGCTCATATTGGAGAAGAAAATAACGTTTCTGCCATACGCAATTCACATTCCTAGCATGTTCAGACTTCTTCAAGGGTATGGTTGTATTTAATAGCAGACTGAATGAAAAGAACAGGCTCCAATTTATGTTGCACGTTAAGAATTTCCGAAAAAGGTGGGGACAGGAAAGATACTAGACCAGTGAGAGAAATCTGTCAAACTGGGGTCCAGTTTTAAAAGTAAATAAGTCTGAAAATGGTCAGCGAAACAGCTGATTGATATTACTTTAATCTCACAAATGTCCATTATATCACGTCTGTGCGTATTTATTACGTTATTTAGCTATTTTTGTACAATCCAAAAAGAAATGACCGAAACAAAATACCATATATGATTTTAAAATTTTACAAAAGGGTTCAAAGAAACTTTGTGAGAAGCAGATTGGTTGATATTTAGACAGTTAAGCATCAAATACAGCTTGCAGGAAACACAAACAAGATATGAGCTGTATAAAACGTACAGCAATTTGAGGTTGGAGAGTCCTCGAAATGCACCAGCGGAAATCGACACGACCGGGAAATTCCTCATGAAACTGTTGAATCAAATGGAAAATATAACAAAGCTGAAATACACAACAAAATCTTCAAACTTAGATTGGTGTGAATAATATATATATACTACATGTTTTGTGTTCAAGTATACTTTTTCTGTCAAATTATTGTAATCTCTATTCGGTTAAACTGTCTGTAGGGTGTAATGCACCTGATTATTTTACAGTGCTTTCACCTGATTATTCGCTTACGTAATTGCGGAACCAGTAAATGCGCTTCCTAATCCGAATTCACTGTATCCCTTGGAATTTGATTATATAACCCAGCCGTATTAATTCTGTATAAAACCCATGGTTTTGCCCCACGCTGGTTGTCTGTGTTCCAGAGGCGTGTGGTCACCATAGCTCCCTGCAGACTGCAGTTTGTGTATTTATGGATTCGGTCTTGTTCTGTTTAATTAATAAATTATTTGAGTACGGAAAAAGTCTGTGTTCACCGTCTTTAATTTACCGAGTCCTTCATAGTTAAATTGTCAACTTGAATCCCGGATGGCCGATTGAAGTTCGTCCATCACACATGGTGGAAGATCCGACTCTACACAGCATGGCGTGACCACACGCGGACACAGACCCGCTGGTCTGTATGGTACGTAACTATACAATGTAAATATTTTGTTTTTATTTTGACCAGTGTATTTTGTTTGTAAATATGAGTGCAAATTTGACGACACATATTCAGGAACAGAAGATCTCGACCTTTTTCTCAATAGATTCGAGACATACGCTAAATTGCGAGATTTTGCTAGCGACAAAAAGGCTTTGGCTTTGGGCCTTCGATTAAAGGTCCAGCCGCTGTTTGTTATGCTGGTTTGTCAGACAGTGATAAAAATGACTTTTTTTAAAGTGGTCACTACCCTCAAACAAGTATTTGAAGGGGATAGCGCTAGATGGGTCCGCGAAGCAAAACTCACTGACCGTTCACAAGGCGAATCTGAATCGATTGATTCTTATGTAACTGACATTCTTCGGTGGAGTCTTGAAATGTTCAGAAAATGAAATAGTAGGTAGACTAGTTCGGGGATTAAGACCCTCGCTTAGAGCATTTGTCATTTCTAAGCAACCTACGAGTATAGTAGAAGCTATTGATTTTGCTAGATTAGGTGAGAGTATTCATAAAATCTCAAATTCTACCACGGTGACAACTAGTGTTGTTAACATAAATACTGATGACCAACTTGTCAAAATTGAAGAAAGTATCAATAAGATACAGTGTCAATTAAATCACATCGAAGAAAAAGTGAAGTCGGTCCAAAAGTATCCCAAGGGCCCTGGTCAGTCAAATTACAGAAGGCCAAAACAGTCAAATGAACAACGTGTGCCATTTGCAAGGAATATGAAATTTAACGGTATCTGTCATAGATGTGGAAAATATGGTCACAGGAAGGCTGATTGCTTTTCAAAATTTCACATTGACGGCCATAGGATAAACTAATAGGCCATCTACATGCCAAAACAAAGGGGTCAAAAACAAAAATGTAGGTGGCAAGTCCTTGAAAACTGATGATCCCGTTGAAATTGACTTGACCAACACGAGTACTATTCTAATTTCTATTGGTACAAATACTGTAAATTGTTTGATAGATACTGGTGCAACAATTAATTTAATATCAAATCAGTATTTGAAAACAAATCAGTCATTGACAAAAGTTCCTATGTGTGACTCGAACATTGGTTCAGCAAAAGTAGCAGACGGAGGAAAACTTGTAATTATGGGTTGTTCTGATGTTTCAATTGTTATTGCTGGAAGACAGTTCACTGTGCCATTTCATGTAGCCCAAGGACTAAGTTGTAGTGTAATGTTGGATGTGCAATTTTTGAACGCACAGAACGCAACCATTGATATTGGTAGATCAAAATTGAAAATCCATAGAAAGAATCAGTTGCGAGTTTGTAAACGGGTTAATATCCCAGCTCGATCACAAACAGTTTTCTTTGCCAAGGTTAAGAATACCATGCCTTCTGGTATTATTGGTCAATGTAACACTGGACGAAATGTCCAAAGTCTTGGTGTATTAATTGCTAACACAATTTCTGTGACTCGAAAGTCAGAATCATGTAGTAATGTGATTGTAATGGCAATGAATGCAACGGATAATCCAGTAACACTGTACCCTCGTACTAAAATTGGGACGTTCTGCATTGTTAATGCAAGTGACATTACTATAATTCATTTGTAGAATGTGAATCAGAGACTGAGAAATACCTATGAGTGCTATGGTTCCTCAGATGAAATTTTGAGCAAGGTAGACGTGGCAGAGTCTTTAAAACCATATCAGAAGGTGCACATTAACCTTATGACAACATTTTTTCTCATTATTTTGGCAATATTTGGTCAAAAATAGTATTTGTGCCATAACTTCTATGTTTTAAGTTCAAATCCCCCACGCCCCCGTTGCTACGCCGCTGACTATAAGGATATGCTAATGCTATCTTGAAACGATGTGACAAGAATCGATGCCCAAAGTGAATGCCAACAAATCGTGTACAAAATTTATTCGGGATTTTGGATAGAACAAAAAGAAGAGGGAAGAAGATAGAAAAAAATCAGAGCTAAAGCAAAGGCTTTTCCGCAATTTTGCAGTAAAACCAATGATAGGCCTCTCTCATGAAACAAAATGGCTATGTAGCTATAGCGTGTGAAGTGTACGAGGGACTCGTACAAGATGTACCGTAAGGGACCGTGACCATTCAGCCCTGGTATGAAAAGGCCCCCCCCCCGGTACCTCGTCCGGTCCAGTGCCAGTCCGGTCTTCAGCCCAGTCTCGTCCGGTGTCACATGAAAATCCGACTCCTATGAAAATCGGACCCCTTTTCCCTATTATTGGTTAATCCCTCTCACGTGACCGGTCACTTTCCTAATTACCATACTTACACATGCGCGTTATTACCAATGAGTCCGAATTTCATAGAAACGTTAATTCACGCTACACCGGTACATGGTCCTGTCTGACCAGAAATTTTGAAGTCAGTCAGGCGCATCAATTTATTACCCTTCAGAGAACGTCCAGATCAGAACAATAGCAGATTTACCGGATTAAAGATAAAATCCTTCCAAACGCCCTTTTAATTTACGGTCCCATTGTGAGCGAAACCGCAAGGCAGGGGTTTTGATCTGTGCCGACGAAAGTGTTCTATTGTTTCGCGCTGAGAGATGAAAACCACAAGCAGGTTTCTTCTGGGATATATTACATGTGTCAATACTTGCAAACAAAAGACCCCAGGATAGAGGAGTTCCCGATTAGCAACCGGACCAGCTCCTGGGCTGGTAGCTGGGACGGTACGAAAGGACTTCTAGGGAGGGGACGAGCTTACCGGGGGGCCCTTTTCATACCGGGGCTGAATGGTCACGGTCCCTAATTACAAGCTTATACTTGGCCGAATACATAACTTGTCTTGTTTCATCAAGCTGGAGTTTGTTAAACGATATAATTGTGTGCTTATTTGAAAACGGATCACTCCAAAGACAGCTATCTTTAATAATCACATGTATTTGTATCAAACCCATAAAATTGTGACAAAAAGTTTTAGTATTTGTTAAATCAAAGTAAAAACCTGATTCCCTCATCATTGAAGTCTTATTGAAGGCATTAACAAGTTACTTTAAGGACTGTTAGTCTAACTCAAAAGAAATTGGTTCACGGTAATTTTGAAGAGAGTCAGATTGTTGCCAAAGCTTATGACGCAAATAAAGCTTGCACTGTCTGCTGTGAACTAAAAAACAAACTGGCAGGAGCCGTATCAAACTTACAGCCTGTTGAGTTTGGGCAGCCTGCTAAATGTACCGGCAGGAATCGACTCTAGAGGAAGATCGTACATCCGACTGTCAAGTAAAGAAGATACCGGGTTGAAATTTATGGGTGTTTCTTCCCCCCCCCTCCCTCAAAAATACACAAACACTGGGAAAATGTGACCGAATAGGTACCTTTTGACAATTGTTATGGTTTTATGATTAAAGCTAGTTTCTAATGATATCCTGGATGCATTCCTCTGGTTATGTGTAACTATAACTGGTGATGTTTATGATAACACCATAACAATAGCCATGAAGTTCATATCTTGTTCATTGTTCGTGTTTTACCTTTTGGGGGGCACACCCGGTTCACCAAATTATTTCTAAGTTACCTTCCAAAGACATCACATTTTAAACACATACTTTTATTTTGGAACCCACGTTGTGGTGGAAGGTACACGTTATACGATCTGGTTGTACGCCGATTGATATTACTTAAATATCACAAATGTCCAATACATAACTTGTTTGTATTTATCAGGTTGTTCAATTGTTTTGTACAAACCAAAAACAAAAGACCGAAAAATCCTCTTTTTTTATAAGTTATTAAAATGGTTATCGATGGCTTCAGTGGGAATGAGATTGGTTCTCATAAATTATAAATAGTTTAAGATCCTAATAGAGATTGAAGTATAATTAGCCGATAACATTAACAAGATACGAAGGATATCAAACTTACATGTAATGGAGATTGGAAAGCCCTGTGAATGTACCTGCGGAAATCGACACGAGCGGAAGATTCCACATATTACTGTTGAATCAAATGGAGAGTATAAACAAAGCTGAAATATACAACAAAATCTTTTAGACTTGTGTTAATAGTACTTTTATAGTATAATGTTCCATTCAAATTAGTGTAATCTCTATTCAGTTAAACTGCCTGTACGTAATATATGAACGTAAATTTCCCATTTCAGTTTCTTTTTAACATTGCATAGGCCTATAGATTGATTTTATTGCCATTGAGGCATATTAAATGTGTGGTCCACGAAGAGACTCGTTAAAGGGGCACTAGGTCCTAAAATCCCCGAAAATGTCATGTTTTGGATTGTTTACTTATCCTATTTCAAACATCTGGTTGAAAGGAAACCAACCTAATGTCTGACCGTTCCCGAGAAAAGACGAAAAAACCCGGTTGTTTACATCGGACACGACGGAGTACGAATACGTTTTTCCTGTCGTTTTCAGTCAATGTACGATCATGGATCCATGGCACGATATAGACGTTGTATGTGTCTATTATAACGCACGTATACAGCACCGTGCTCGCGAACAGCGGTGACCAATCCCCAATGCACAAGTGCGGTTTCTCACACTTCCGCAAAAGGCGATCACTTTACGGATGAAATCACAACTAGCACCCGAACAGCTCGACTTTTTTGGGTCGCAAAAGTGGACCCCAAAAGTCTTTCTCGAACGCATAATAAAGGAAAAACACAAAACGCCCAGTTTTTAAAGGGTTGTGGATGTTTTTATCCTACTTTAAAATATTGATTAACATCATTTCGTCAAGTTGAAAGCGCGTTTTGTAGCCCAATTGGGCTGTTCCAGGACGCAGTGTCCCTTAAAGGTTGATTCGTGAAAAGTCAACAGTTGAATACGAATTACAAATAACATGCACTACAAAGTCAATAATAACTACATGAACAAAGATTAATTGAATTACCGCAAAATGGAAGCACAGCAGCGCTCGCAATAAAGGCAAAAACAAAGTGTTGAAATAATTAATACCTGGTAATTAAAAACAAAATAGAAATGATGCGATCAAGCTACATGAGTCGTTTGTCCGGAATTTTCATTTGGAGATACAGGCCAAAATAGGACCACTTTATCACATCACTTCATCACCTTTCTTGGTGTTCCGACTTCCATCATTTTTTAACTAAAGATGGTACCAGCATGCGGTTTTCACAGCAGTAATGCTCAGATTGTGCTCTTTTGAAATCTATAATAAAACAAATTTGACCGGGGTCGACAAACGACTCATTTAGCTTGATCGAATTTGATCCGAAGTGTTTTGTTGCAGGTTTGCAGTATCTGCTGTGGCTCTAAAATCGTGTTGGGGACTAGCACATGGAAATTATATGAGTGAATACAGCCAATGACAAAACCCATCGGTCAGATAATTTGTGTGGTTCACATTAAATCGCTAAAACATGTTAACGAGCTAAAAGTCAGGTTACAAGCATATTCGTTACTGCAGCGGCTACTCATCAACAACGACAATAAAGTTTGTATAATATTGGATATTGGATAGAGCTTGAAGCGACCTCATGTTTTTTTTATATCCAATATAAACACGAAATAAACCGATAAATAAACAGATGATCTAAATAAACAGATGATCTAAAAAAAAGAAGAATGGGGAATCAACTTGAGACTTACATCACGGATATTGATGTAAAATCAAACATCATAGTTATAAACTTTATTCGCGAGACAAAATGGCTGTATATAGGGTGTGAAGTGTACTATCGCAGGTTCTACCTTAATAAACAAGCTTTTGCATGTATAAATAAATTTCTCATGCCACATTTTAGTGGATCTTGTTGCACGTTGAAGACGAATGATGTTTAAGCCAAAATCACTGTATCATCAAGCTGAAGTTAAGTTAGGCAATTGAATGTCAACGATTTGCAAACAAAAGAGAAGAACACTAAAAAGACATCAATTTCAATCACGTGTATTTCTGTTGAAAGACACAAGATTTGTCTGTTAAATACGAGAGTTTAAAAAATGTACCTGATTAACTCCGATTAAACAGCTACTTTAAGGAATGTTACTGTACGCTGTAAAATCACCTAGTCAAACTGTATAGGGTTAGTTGGTGCAAGTTGGACCGAGTTCTAGTCAAATTTAACTAGAGTGTTTTCAGAGTGTGAGCAGAGAAGAAAATTGTTAACGGTAATTTTGGAGAGAAGCAGATTGATGCCAAAGCTTATGATGCAAACAGACCTTGCACTCTCTGCTGTGACAACAAAAACAAACAGGAACCGTATCAAACTTACAGCCAGAAGAGATTGGGCAGCCCGCTAAATGTACCGTTGGGAATCGACTTCAGGGGAAGATCAACCATCCAACTGTCAAGTCAAGAAAGGAATATGGGGAGATGAGATGTCCCATTCCCCCACAACATTAACACCTAAACATTGAACTAATGCCGTGACCCAGGTATGAACAGGTATGACCATTATTATGATTTTACCACAGACGTGGGAGCAGCAGGTTAACTTCCAATTTGCTGGATACAATCCCCTGCATTGTCATGTATCACTACAGCAAAAATATTTCTAATTTACATAACAAAGACATACAATTGCAAACACAATTATTTCGTCTGAACCCACATTGCAGTTGAAGTAGCCGCGTAACTGTGGGTTACAGCCTGACCAAAAAATAATGCAAGCAGAAACGGGCTCTGTGTCCTTGGAATATTGAAAAATATTTCATGATATTCAGCCTTCAAATGCTGTTTGTGTTATCAATTTTGCTTTTGCCAAACCAGAGATATGGTCAGTTGAACACAAACACTCAAAAATCAATTTGTGTCAATATCCCAGGTTTAACATTATATAAGCATTATGAAACATTTTTCAATATTCCAAGGACACAGAGCCCGTTTCTGCTTGCAGCATTTTTTTGGGACAGGCTGTCCTAGGGGGCACCTGGGGTGAATCACTTTTTCAAGGGGGTAGGGCCACTGAAGATAATTGATTTTAAATGGGGGGGGGGGGTACCCGGGGCACGTTTCCCCCCCCCCCTCCCCACATCAACCCCTCCGCCGTTGTTACGCCACTTGGTAACAGTTATTTTGATATGATACTGGGCTATTGTTTTACAAAATAAATAGATTGTGTAACTTTCCGTTTGAAGTTATATCAGATTGTTCGGAAACATGTTTTTTTTTTCTGCAATACGCAATTAACATGGTCTGCGTGTTCAGACGTCGTTAATGCATGGTTGATCGTTAACAATAACAGAATGAAAGGAACAGGCTAGATGTATGTCGAACGTTTTGAAGAACGACTGACGAGGTGAAAGGAAATAGTGAAACAGTGATCTAGTTAGAATTTTAGAAATGTAAATCAGTCTTGAAAATCTTCAGCGAAACTGGAGATTGATATTACTTAAATATCACAAAATGTCCAATACATAACTTGTATATATTTTTCAGGTCATACAACTGTCTTTGTACAATCCGAAAAGTATTGACCGAAAACAAACCCTCTTTTGAAAATTATTCAAATGGTTAACGGAAGCTTGGGGAGATGAGATTTGTTCTTATATAAAAAGAGGGTGAGTCAAAACAAGTGAAACCCAAATGTCGGGACCATTGTTTTAGTAAAGTTTAGCATGTAGCACTTTCAAAAATCTAGGATATGAAAGCTCGATTCATAAGCTTTTTTTTTAGTACAAGGATCATTCAAATCACTCATGCTTTTAAAGTTACGGAATTTTAAACACAACCACCGTTTTAAAGTTCTATCCACGGATCACAAGAAGGTAATTGTTCTTTCAGCAAAACGAAAACAAATCACTTAGGGATGTGCGTGAATTGTTCGTTTTGCTGAAAGAACGCACAATTTTTGGTGATCCGTGGACAGAACTTTAAAACGGTGGTTGTGTTTAAAATTCCGTAACTTTAAAAGTACAAGAGTGATTTAAATGATTCTTGTACTGAAAGAAAGCTTATGAATTGGGCTTTCCTGTCCTAGATTAGAAAGTGTTACATGCAGAAATTTACTAAAACAATTGTCCCGACATTTGGGTTTCGCTTTTTTTTTTTTACTCATCTTGTATACAACAAGATACGAAGCATATCAAACGTACAGGTCTCCGAGATTGGAGAGTCCACGAAATGTACCTCTGGAAATCGACACCAGCGGAAGATTGCTGATATTACTGTTGAATTAAATGGAGAATATAGCAAAGCTGAATTAGACTTGTATTAATAATACTATTTATTAGTATAATTTTCCTTTCAAATTGTTTTAAGACTAATTTATGTCTACCATCAAGACATATTAGAATTTCGTCTTCAGTTGGAATGTAACATTTCAATCATACCGAGCATATTTTCTGAGAAACACAACGTTGAAAATGCCATGGGTTTTTTTTTGGGGGGGGGTGCATGAATTTCACTGCTCCGTTATAGCGTTTAAGCGCCTAAGTACGTAATCGGATTAGCTTTGCCAAACAACGGCCCTTTGTGGTTAGCAACCATATGGCTGTATTCATCAACAACTGCAATAAAATTTGTTTGATATTGGATATTTGGTAAAACCAAGAAACACGAAAAGAACAGATCTTGCAGATCTCGATAATCCACGAAACAAACTAGGTTGGATCAACAGGTGCGAGGCTAACATCATTAATATTGCTTTCACATCAAACATAATAATATGTCTTTCTCGTGAAAAGAAATTGATGTGTGCCTGCGTAGCAATATGGTGTGAAGTGTTCAAGGGCCTCTCACACGTTATACCACAATACATGGAGAAGTCCATTTCTCGCCACCTCATTCCACATTTTGGTGGGTCTTGTTGCAGTATGAAGAAGAATGGTGTAAAGTCAAAATCACTGTCTCATCTGAAGTAGGTTATGCGATATAATCTGAGCGCACACTAGCAGCGTTTTGCGAACAGTGATCTTAATCACATGAATTTGTATTAAACCCATGAAATTGAGATAATCAGTTGTATTGTCTGTTAAATCAAAGTTTAACAAAAAAGTACCTGATTATCTCCTGTTGGAGTTTCAGGGATTAAACCAGCTACTTTGAGAAATGTTCCTCTAACTCGAAAGAAAATGGTAAACGGTAAATTTGGAGAGATTCATGCCAAAGTTATGATGCAAATAGAGCTATTATGTGACAGCGAAAACAAACAGGAACAGTATCAAACTTACAGCATAAGGAGATTGATCAGCCCGCTAAATGTTCCGTCGGGTATCGACACCACAGAAAGATTTTCCAGCCGACTGTCAAGTAAAGTAAATAATACATCGGGTTAAAATGAATAGGGTGCCTCCTCAAAAAGGTAACCAACAAACATTGGGAAAATGAGACCGAAAAATGTACTTAATGGCCATCATTATGGTTTTATAATTAACTGGGGTCAGTGGGGCGTTGGGGGTGTTCTGGATGGATAGTACCTTTGGCGATGGGCAGCCGCCCCATGTTTATGGGGGCTCTAACCTCTGGTTCCGAAAGTTAACCTTAGTTCATGTATGGCTCCACGGAACTGCTTATGTACGACAGTGGCAACACCGCGGTATCCTGACCTTGGTCAGCTAAACTACATGAGCGAACCTGTGCGATGGACTCCTGCAGGTGAGGGACCTCTCCCCTCTAGTACATAAAGTCTGCATTCGGCGGATAACGTAGTCCACATGTCAGCTCGGCAGCAGGGCATGGCAGCTGCAATCACAGCGTGGTCACTTTCTTCATGCAAGTGTCTCCGGTATGTTGTAGCAGACCGTCAAGCGGAACTCGCTTCGGAGTCAACAGTTGTTGGTCATCAGGCGTAGTTAGTTAGCTATGCGTCCCGCTGGTTCAGATGGATGCAAGGTCCAGAGGGGAGGGTGTGACCTGGGCAAGCACTGGCTCTCAATAACTTTTGCCTCGGCGCCCCACAGTCATGATTGTAGGTCTAAATCAGAATAAGCGACTGGCAAATCGGGGGTCATCCTTTTTGGGCCCGGACTTTCGATGCCCGGCAAGGATCGCGTTCCAGGCAGGCGCGTTCGGGTCGACACCCTGCTACTACCTTTTTTGTTTTAGCTACCTTCTTTGTTTAAGCTTGTTGGAATGTTCTCTCCCTGGGTACTCATACAGTTCGCCAATCTCCTTCCCCAAGAAAGTCTGCGGTGGTCGACATTGAACCGTCGTCTGTGCTCTCAGTGAGACCTGGCTTACCGTCATTGGCTCGATTTGCGAGGCTAACTTCTCCTTTCTTTTGGAGCGGTTACCCAAACAACGCAATACCTATGCATGGAGTAGGCCTTGCAATCCAGAACTCTCTGCTCTCATGCATTCAACAACCTGTTTCCCACTCTCCCCGCCTCATGTTCATGCCGATTCGCTTCAGTAGCGGCCTAATTGTCACTGTCATATCTGTATACGCTCCAACGTGACGGTGATGGCTGATTCTGTGGAAAAGGACGAATTCTATCACCTGCTTTACAATACTTTGCGTAGCATACCACCTGGGGATAGCATTGTGCTTGCCGGAGACTTCAACGCACACATCGGACCTGATTTCAGTTCTTGGAGTGGTGTGATCGGTCCTCCTGGCCTGGGCAAATAAACGATAATGGGCGACGTCTCCTTGAGTGCTGTGCCGGCCATGACCCGTGTCTTACAAGCACATATTCTTCACAGAATCACCTCGCATCCAGGCTGGATGCATCCTCGCTCACACCGATGGCAGACTGTAACACTGACCACGCCCTTGTCCACTGCAAGCTCAGAATGCAACCCAAAAAGTTTCATCAAGCTCATCCGAAGCCAACCCCTGCAAATGATACCTCTGCTACTCGGGACATCTCCCGCGTCAAACAGGGGTCAAACAGGGTTGCGTGCTAGCTCCTATACCCTGTTTGGGATGTTCTTCTCGGCTCTCCTCCATCGTGCCTTTCCTGATCCCTCTGGCGTACTGCTCCAAACTCGCAGCTCAGGAAAGCTACTCAACATCTCTCGTCTCTGCACCAGGACTTCAGTCAGACGCGTCCTCATTCGTGAAAATATGTTGCTGCTATTGTCGCCCACAGTGAAACTCCAAGATCTTCAATTTCTGTGCATTCTCTTTGCCAAAGCTTTTTGGGATGCCAAACACTACTTGGGAGTCAACTGCCAGCAATCGTTCCCATTGGCACTCTGCTATATACAACGGTTGCTCTACCCGCAGAGCTATATTAAATTACTGACCGTGAGAGTCGTCGTCTCCATCGTCGTTCACGGTGGGACGGGCCATGATGATGTGGTCAGTATAAGTTAATTTACAATGATATCCTGGATGCACTCCTCTAGTCATGTATTACCGTAAGTTTCGTATATAGTTTATAACGTCATAATAATGGTCGTTTAGTTCATAACTTTTTCATATTATACATTTGTTCGTGGTTCACCATTTTGGGACACGTGTCCCACATCCTGTTAATCCAAATATTTCTAAGTTTACATTCTAAAGACATGAAATTGCAAAAACACAGTATTATTTCGTTTGAAACACACGTTGTGGTGAAAATAAAAATTATTGGTAAACCTCTGTCTTGAATACTGTATTTTCATTGGCATAGAACGATCACGTGTTAAGTTTATAAAAAGATATGGCACACTCCCTGTGGGATATCACGCACGTGATATCCCACAGGGAGTGTGCAATGACTTTGTACGTACGGTACATACGGCTGCGAAACGCTTATATCGAGCACGCGACATGCATGTGAGTTGACGTTTGATAGTCATGATTGTTGTGTTTACTACTGTTTGTTTTCGTGATTTTTACATCAAAATCCAATGAAGCCAAGACAGAAGGGCGCATAGCACCCTCGGCTTCGCCTCGGGTGCTATGCGCCCCTCGGCTATTCAAAACGTCATATCCCACATCACAGCGGTCAACAATTGTTAATTATGATCTGTTGCATGCATGAAAAATACATCCATATTGTAACTTTCCTTTCGAAGTTGCAATATATTGCTCAGAAGAAAATAATGTTTTTCTACAACACACAATTAACATTTTCTATGTGTTCATGCATCTTTAATGTGTTGGTCGTTAATTATAACAGAATGAAATAACAGACTCCAAACATTCACGCGTTGAAAAACGCCAAGAGTATATACGAATTGCAGAAAAAGTAGGGCGAAAAAATATGCCGTGCCGGTGGAAGGAAACTGTCAACCAGTGGTCCAGTTTGAAATGCGAATCGTTCTCAAAATATTCAGGGGAACAGCGGATTCATGTTCCTTAATATCACAAATGTCCAATGCGTATATTTTTATCAGGTTATTAAACTGTTTTCTACTACGCAAAAACAAATACCGAACTTTTTTCTTAATATATTATATAGTTAACGGTAGTTTTACGCGTGTGAGATTGGTTCCGATTTAGACAGTTTAAAGATCAAATACAGCTTGCAGGATTTACACTCTTTAACCCCAACAAGATAAGAAGCATAACAAACTTACAGGAATTTGAGCCCGGAAAGTCCTCTAAATGTGCCGGAGGAAATCGACGCGAGCGGAAAATCTTCCAGAGTACTGTCGAATCAAATGGAGAATATAACAAATCTAAGATACACAGCAAAGCCTTTAAATTTATATTGGTGTAAAAAGTACTATTTTTAGTACTAAAGAATAATTTTCCGTTCATTTTTTTTTTTTAAATTCTCTTCAGTTAAACTGCCTGTACGGTAGGGATGTAAATTTCCAATTTCATTTTTCGTTTAATCATCGGACAGATTAAAACTGATTTTTTACTCCCATTTATGCAATTAAATATGTGGACCATGAAGAGTGTCTTTAAGGTAATTCATGAAAAAAAACCCAATTTAATAAGAATTTTAGGGAAAAATATGCACTGCAAAGTCAATAATAAATACATGAATAGAGAACACGTGTGAAGAGTTAAATTGCCTCAAAATGAAAGCAAAACAGTACTTGCAATAAAGACAACAGGTAGAAGAAAAAAGTGATAAATAAAAATAATACTTGATAACTAAAAGCAAAATAGATAAGAAATTGGAAAGAGCTTTTTTCTACAATGTTTTGTTGCAGGTACGCAGTATCTGCTGTGGCTCTGAAATCGTGCGGAGGGACTACCACATGGAAAATAAGATGAATGACTACAGTCAATTAAAACAATTAACATATTCTGCTAATTCAAGGAAAAAATCCGATTTCCATCATTCCCCACTCCTCCAGACTGAAGTATTTTGGTATTAAGCAGCTACTTTAAGCAATGTCAGTCCAACTCGAAAAAAAAAATGATTTAACGGTTTCATATTTTGGAGAGCCAAATGGATGCCAAAGCGTATTGCATGCAGTCTGCTGTGACATCAAAAACAAACTAGCCTTGATCAATGCTCTCGTCGTTATTCGTCCCGTACGCGGTCAATCGTCGGCATATATCCTCACGCGCTATGCACATGCATGTAAAAATACAGCGCGAACAGCGACCTCACGCGGCCAATATTTTTATGCAAATCAGGTGAAGACGAAGTCGAGCCTTGGTTCAATCGTCGGCAAAAGCTTATGTTTTTCTTTACTTTGCGCTAGATTTCCAGCGCACGACCTCGTATGCGAATACAGATAAGTATAGGCGGGGCTAATATGTGGAGTGTCCAATCACACCTTGGTACATCCGGACGTCATCAAATTATTTGCAGCTATTCCACCTTTTGCGGACGTGACATGAACCACATTTTTGTACATTGGTGCCGTGTGCAGAGACACACAATGTGTACGTGTATGGATTATGTACGGTGCCACGTTTCACTATGCAAGTTTCCACGCAACGATCGACCAATAAGAAAACGACATTTAAGGCCAGCTAAGGCTATTAACATAATGAGCACCACCCCCAAAACCTCACATGGACGATTGAACCAAGGCTCGACTTCGTCTTCAACTGATTTGCATAAAAATAGTGGCCGCGTGAGGTCGCTGTTCGCGCTGTATTTTTACATGCATGTGCATAGCGCGTGAGGATATATGCCGACGATTGACCGCGTACGGGACGAATAACGAGGAGAGCATTGACCAAGGCTAAAAACAAACAGGAACTTACAGCACCTCTAACCTCCTGGGCGTCCTGGAAAACAAAATGGGATCAAACAGGGTAACACAAAAACAAAAGAAAGTAACACACAACACTAAAATTGGACAGAGAAATGCACTTAATGACCATTATTAAGGTTTTAAAATTAACGTGAGACAGTATAATTTTTTTTCCAATGATATTCTCGGTGCATTCCTTTGGTCATGTGTACTAAGTTTCGTAGTTTATGATAAAACCATAATAATGGTCATTCAAATTGTACATTTTGTTTGTGGTTTGCATTTTTGAAGACACGTAAATCCAGTAGTAGGGAAGGTGGGGGCACGTACCGGATCAAAATGGAAAATCTGTGGCAAGCCTGGACACCTCGCTCTCGTTTCTAAAAATATAGGGGAAATCCCCCGCGGCAAAACTTTTAGAAATCTGACGTCAGGTACCGGATCAAAATGGAAAAAATCTGTGCCAAGTCAGGCCCTGTCGCTCTGGTGTTAAAAAATAAATCCGACGTCGCTAAAATGATGTGATGTCACCACCACGTGACTTTGACACGCCGCTCTCGGTTCTAGAAATAGTTGGGGAAAAATATAGGGGAAATTCCCCGCGGCAAATTTTTAGAAATCTGACGTCAGGTATGGGAGCAAAATGGAAAAATGTGTGCCAAGTCAGGCCCTGTCGCTCTGGTGTTAAAAAATAAATCTGACGTCGCTAAAATGATGTGATGTCACCACCACGTGACCTTGAAAAATTTGGCGTAAACAACGTGACCTTGAAACGTGTTGAGGCACGATAGAAATTTGGCGTAAACAACGTGACCTTGAACCTCGCGTAAACAACGTGACCTTGAAACTCGGGATAAAAAAAGAGGGAACTTCCACTACAGTCAAGCTCTCATCGATTATGAAATAATTGATCGCCCTCCAAAAAAAATGAGAAAAAAAATATTATATTTTCTATAATAAAATGGAGAGTAATATGTTCAGACCGACCATCAAAGGATATTCTAAATGGAAAAAAGCCACGCTGCGTGATTACGTGCAGCGGTATAATATACCGCACAATGAAAATGTTTCTCTTACTCGTTAAGTCTACATCGAGGGGATAAATAATTATAAAGGTCAATTTAAAAACACTACATGAGCTCAAACAGATTGTAGACGAACAAAATCTAAAATACGTACCGACGGGTTATAAAGGACGGTTTTTGAAAAAAGATTTAAACTCGGCGATTAAAACATACAGACAACCCGAAGACTTTACAGAGTCAGCTTTTAGAGAAACGAGAAGGTTTAACAATTACTACAGAAACTGGGAATTAAACCCCAGACTTTATAACCACGATTTAATCAAAGTTTTTTTATTCGAACAAGGAACAAATAGTCAATAAAATCAAGTCTGAATTGAGAGAGCTCAGAGGTTTAAAAGTAGAGCTTGTACTAAAAATAAGGTATCGAAAAATCAAACCGAACGATATCATCGAAACGATCGAAGCTATTCATTATATCAAGCCGAAAGCCGTTTTAAATCAAAGTCAAGTAAAACAGGTTTTAAAAGAAGAGATCGAAGAGCTATTCAAAATGATGAAAGGTATACGAATCAAGGATCGGGTTGGGTAGTCGATACAATACTCGCGTTATACATCAACATCAACAGATATAATCCAGCGAGAGGTAGTTCTTACATAAACCTCCCCGAACATCTTAAAATTAAACAGGCGATGATCAACGTACAAAACAAAGACGACGAGTGTTTGAGATGGTGTTTGAGATCTGCCTTGGTGTTATAAACGGACAAAGTAAAAAATCAAATAAGAAATAATCCTAAATATAAAATCAACGAAAGCAGACCGTCGATTTACATCAAAGACGACGGACTCAAATTTAAAGGCGTTGACTTTCCGACACCGGTCGATCAGATACCCAAGATAAAAAGACAAAATAATTTATCGATAAACGTATACGGTTATGAGGGTGAGATATATCCATTATACGTGTCTAAATACTACGGGACACGAGAGATTGATCTGCTTTTGATTTCTAAAGGTGACAAGCATCACTTTTGTGGGATAAAATATTTTACGAGGTTGATGTACGACGTTACGAAACATAAATGTAAGAAATATTTTTGTCGAAGATGTCTATGTCATTTTACCAATCAAAACAAATTAGACAGACATATCGCCGATTGTAAGGGTATAGATGCACATCCATCAAAGATTGTATTTCCGACAGGTAAACCAAAATACATAGACGGGCAACCAGGCGAAAGAGACGTACCGATATTAGAATTTAAAAACTATAGGCACAAACAAAAAGCACCATTTGTCATTTATGCTGACTTTGAATCCATACTACAAACAACAACAACACCCACACAGGCACTAACATCTAAACCTACTCACTCAGACAAAGAGACAAACACAAAAAAGATTAACGTTCACAAAGCAAGCGGTTATTCGCTAGTTGTCGTCCGATGCGACGGTAAAAATGTGTATCAAGAGACTTATAGAGGCAAAGACGCTTCAACTAGATTTATAACAACGTTGTTACAAAGCGATATTAATTGTCTATTTGAAAAAACCCAACCCATGAAATTTAACGAGCGAGCTAAAAACATCACGATAAAACAAACGCGTGTTGGTTTTGTGAAAAACCAATTTATCCCAATTACTCGAGCAACTGTCAGTGCCAGAAACCCAGAGAACCCAAGACGATAAAACAAATGAAAGAATATCAGTACAAAAATAGTAAGGAATTTATCGAGTCTAAATGTCTCGACTGCAGAAAGAGCATTCATAAAAAGGTGAGAGATCACTGCCACGTAACTGGTAAATATAGGGGTGCCGCACACGCTTATTGTAATCTCAAACTACAAATTAAACCCGGTTGTACACCGATACCGGTCTCTTTTCACAATTTACAAAATTACGACGCGCATTTAATCATACAGGGAATGACAGAATACGATAGCAAAAAAGAAATACAAGTGATCGCTAAAAATTCAGAAAAGTATATTTCGTTTTCGATAGGAAATCTACGATTCTTAGACTCGTTTAGTTTTATGGCATCATCGTTGGATAAATTAGTGAAAGCTTGTCCAAAAGAGTCGTTTCATCTACTCAAAAAGCATTTTAAACATCCTGACTCGTTATTACAAAAAGGAATTCATCCCTACGAATGTATGAACTCGTTTGATAAGTTTCAAGAGACCAGCCTACCACCCATCGACAAGTTTTACAGCAGTATAAAGACGAACATATATCGCAACAAGACTACGACAGAGCTCAACGCGTGTGGAACGAGTTTAATATACAAAATCTAGGAGAATATCACGACTTGTACGTGACTACCAATAAGTTATTACTTGCAGGCGTATTTGAAAACTTTAGAAGAACGTGCATAGAAAACTACGGGTTAGATCCAGCCAATTATTACACCGCACCCGGATTGTCCTGGGATGCTCTATTGAAACACTCGGAAGCTAAACTCGAACTGTTGCAAGACGTCGACAAACATTTATTTTTTGAAAAAGCAAAACGAGGAGGCATATCTAGCGTGGGTGGAATGAGACATCGCAAAGCCAATACTCAATATCTCGATGACTACGATTCAAACAAGCCCTCGAGTTATATCGCTTATCTGGATGCCAACAATCTGTACGGTTGGGCTATGAGTCAATATCTACCGTACAGCGATTTTAAATGGAGAAAGGATATTAACGCTTAAGAAAACGTCCAACACCGGCTACTTTTTCGAAGTAGATTTAGACTACCCGCACGATCTACACGCCAAGCATAACGATTATCCCCTAGCACCCGAAAATATGGTCGTACCCTAAGCTTGGATGTCTGGTTATCAAAATGAGTTATTGGATACCGAACCTAGTAGCGACGTACAAAAATTAACGTGTACGCTTAATCCTAAACAAAAATACGTGTTGCACTACGTCACGTTGCTACGTCTACCTCGATCTCGGTCATTCATTCAAGGTAAGGTCATTCAAGAAGCCGTTTGCGTAAGACCTAATATGTACTCGATTTTAGCAGATGACAACAACATCACTCTTTAAAAAGCCAAGGGGGTCACAAAATCGGTCACTTACAAACAATTAAAACACCGACACTACTACGACTGCATCTTTAAAAATAAATCTAAAACAGAAACGATGACTCAAAAACACATCCTTTACACCATGTCGCTAGATAAATTGTCGTTGAGTCCGTTGGATACCAAGAGGAACATTTTACCGGATGGAGTACACACGCTCGCTTATGGTCACCGTAATCTAGATATTAATTAGGCGGTAATTGCGTGTCCTCGGGTACGACTTGATTCTCTTGTCTCAAAAAACTCCTTTTTGGGCCGTCTTGCAGGTAATGCAGCGTGGGGCCCGTCGTGACTTTTTTTTACCGTTAATCATTTTAAATTGACTCGTTCTTTTTTCCACGTTGAAGATGTCTACGCTCCAAATGGGATCCGTGGCTCTTCTCGAAGTACCCCCCTCTTGCTCGCCCGGGTAATATAAATATCTAACCATAGCGTCTTGCGGTAATTGTTGCTCTTTTGTTTTAACGGGGTTAGCCGGCGATTGTCGGACCTGTTCTAGTTTAACTGCCTCTGACGGCGCTTTAGCTATTATTCTTGTCGTTTCATCGTTTATAGCCTTGATCACGCTGGGTAATCGCTCGACCCATTGCGTGTTTCTATTCTCGGGATTTAACATTTCTTGAGCGTACTGATGACCAAAAGTCTCTCAGCTAGCGTTCGATTAAATCTTTCTACGATACCCTGCGATCGGTGGTTTCCGGGTTCGCCTACGATAATCTCGACGTTTTTTGAGGTCATCCATTTTTTAAAAGCGCCTTGAAATTCTTTACCGGCGTCTACTCTCAACGTTTTAGGGTAACTCAAAGGCGATCTCGCGTAAATCTTGACCATAGCATCTTGGGTGGAATCAGCCGTCTTAGAAACCAAAGGTTCTGCTTCGTGGTATCGACTCGCAACGTCGACAACCGTCAAAGCGTATTTATAAGTCTT